TGCAAAGGAATGGTGAATGGAGGGACAAAGAAGGTGAAAGGGGACAAGAATAAAATAAACCGGAAAACCTCAGCTGTATGCATTTTTGCCGTAGTTTTTCGCGATAGTACTCTCTAAACGACTGAAACGTAGTGATTGCATTAAAATTAATGGCTACTGACTATGAACTTGAATCAGTAATGGCGTCACTACCTCCCAATACATGAGGGCAGTGGAAAGTGTGAAGAACACAATGGTGGAGTAATTAAGAACGAAGGTACCATGAACCAGCCCATTCCTACGTGCCTCAGCTGCCACTACACACCCTGAGACTGCAGAAGCACCTACAGCGACAATACCGTTGACACGACGGCTAAACGTATTGCGTAAGCCAACCTACCGGTCAATATCTGCCCACACTGTGAACGAACGTTTCGGGCAAGGATCGCTCCGGTCGAACACCTGTGTATGGGTCTTCGCACATCCAACCCTGACTCACAACACGCTTGGGGCTGATTCATCTACTCGACATTAAGCCAAATTACCGACCCACGATTACTGTCTCCTGCACACTTATAATATCTTCAACAATAACACAATTTTAATCTACTCAATTGTTGGCATGTGCCTAGAGGTAAAGAAAATCTAATACAGTAAGTCTGCATTCACCTTAGCGACGGTCCACTGAAATCCCAAACTAGTATCTAAACTACAATCGCCGATTACGTCAATGTAATTAATAACGAGGCGGACTCGGTGTTTAAAGGTGGCTAGACACAAGGGCAGGCATTGCTCTTGCGGCCGTAAACTATGGGTTGCGTCCAGAATGGTAGGCAAACACTCAAAAGTGGGGTTTATCTACTTCCACCTGCCCTACATCATTGCATAGACCTATGTAAATGTTTGTTTACAGTTGACAACTAGAAACTTTGTGAGGGAATGCGACAAAACCATCCGTTGTGGGAACCCGAATACAACAGATACGAGTCACCAGCCTGAACGACTGAGCACATACTTTTTGTGCCCAGCAGTAAGGGGAAAGCCGACAATGGACAAGTCACAAGTGTCACCGACGCGCTGGCTAAGTGGGCGAGACCGATCAACATACGCTTATAGCCATCAATACAAAGTTTCCAAGGCCTTTTACGACAAAGTAGAGTTGCCTAGAGCTCGCTGGGTTACATGTGACAGTAATACGTTCAATGCAGACAATAAAAGCAAGCATTTTAGACGACAGCCAGTGCGGCGGGACAACAAAGGCTAAAAAGGAGTGCGGAGGGACTAGGCGA